ACCTCTCCCTATGCACCAAACACCACTGAGTCAGCAGAATTTCAGCAACTATTTATGCTGGTGATGAATGATTCTCATAACACCTTACTTTCTCTTAAGTGTTGGATATGTATCCATTTGTGCAAGTAAGATACAAGTAGTCTGGAGTATTTGTATTTGGGAGGATATTTTTTGAAAAGAAAAAAATAACAAAGTAATCTTTAGGACTTTGTGTTTTCAATCTTTCTCCTTTTGCTTAAAAATAACCCCCCTCCCCCAAATGCCTGTTTTGCAAATCATCTGAGGTATTTAACAAGGAATTGAAAATAACAAAAGTAAGCCTCTAATTACCATTGCATTTTTTGGGTTACATATTTCACACAATCATCAAAGGCCTCTCAAACATAAATATATTTATATAAATATAAATAACAAATTTGGGATTTATCATACCAGAAAGGAAAACGTATCATACCAGAAATTAAACATTACTTCTGAATTATTGAATATGTATTATTTATGTCATCCTCAGCATAAGCCAGACAAGGTCAAAAGAAAACAATTTTTTTAAACCAGACCATTTTAGGTAGCAAAAGTTGCTTCCAGGTGCATAATAGAGAAACTCAATATTAAGGCAAAATAGGTCCCAAGTAATTTAAAGCCACGATAATCAGAGTAAGCCTGATAGTAAAACTTCACTAATTGAGAATTGGTTATAGATAAGTGAACAGTGAGTGATGTGACTTTGACCATTTGTCAGGAAAGCTTGCTAAGCAAACAGAGTAAATATGCCTGGGGACAAGGTGGGAGTGAGATGGGGGAATGTTTAACCTTCTCCAGAGAACAAACAAATGGTAAATTGTGGACAAATGGATCTTGTTAATTAAAAAGAAGTCTTATCTGTCCTTCAGAGCCCATTTTAAGCATCTTTACTTGGTAACATTTTATTAATGTTAATGAAATTTTATTTAGATTTTGAAACAATTTCATTTCTTTAAATGTCTAAGACTTTTTATGTAATTCAAAATCACATTCTGTCAGAGTTGGCCATATTACGTGATTTCAGTACCTTCACGTGAAAAAGGTGTTTAAGTTACTTGTATTTACTGAGTGAACTTGAGTGTCTATCACTATACCAAATAACGCGAAGTAGTTCAAAAGAATCAAGCACAATCTTTGCTCGCACAAGGTAGTTTCATTGATGAGACAGTCACAGAACATTTTACAAAATAAAGAATTATAACAAGGTCCCTGGGAGGAGCTTAATCTCCAGGCACAACTCAGGAATTTTGGGTACGGGCAATCCTGTTCCTCAAGTGACCCACTGTGAAATTAGAGAAAATGACAAGGGGTGCTTTGGGACCAGCTGGTGACTCTGGTCATTGAGGGCTGGTCTTTTTTAAATAAAAGTAGAGATAGAAGTGGACTCAGCTTCCTCAAAAGTGCTGCTGGATGGTCAAGAACACACCCTGAGACAGGAAAGACTAAAGTGCTTAGGCCTATTTTCTGAGGGAGAGTCACATTTTAAGAGTCACATCACTTTTACACACCAGTGTTTTCTGCTTCAGGCCTAAATGTTCCAGGTTTTCTGAGGGTGTTTTAAGAACTACAGGATGAAAGCTACTGATTGGGCACCCATTATGATTGGTAAGTACTGTTAGGGGAGACTCCCTGAATGCGAACAAAAATAGTAAGAGCAGCAGTGGTGGTAAGGGGGGCTGTTAGGGCAGGAACAGCTGCTGTGGAGGTGCTGATGAGGTGATGGAAGCAGGGGCTGCCGAAATGGACTACCCAGAGTTGAGAGAGAGAGCAGCCCCAGGAACACCACACTGACTATGGAGAAGACACAAACCCAGGGTCACCTTATGCACCAGCACAGTGGACACAGTTCAGAGGGCCCAAGATACTCCTAAGGACCCATAAAATTGTTTTAATTATATCTTTCTTAAAATCAGAACCCCCTAAATGACTATTAAAATAATGTGTAATAATAAATTCAGTCTAGATTATATTTTTCTTGATACAGCTTATCATAAAATACAGTCTTCTACATTTTTTTTATGGAGGAAGGGGCCCATGAAGGCAAAAGTTTGAGGGCCTATAAGAGTCATAAAGACCCCCTACACCAATCATTCAGGCCAAGGACAGTGCGTGTGCATGCGGGGGGTGTGGAATCGCAGCAACTTTCATGTGTGGAGGTTTAGAATTAAAGAGATTGTTATCCACGACTCTCCCATCACCACATACACATACACTACACACAACAAAAAGTGCCAAATAGCACATAACACAAACCGAGGGCATAGGAGTTATATGGTAGAATGTAATTAGAATCAGTCCTCATTCACCTCAGAAGACTTCATTGCAAAAGTGATGGTTTGGAGAGTCATCTGGGAAAAACAATGCTGGAGGGGAAAAAAAAAAAAAAAGTAAGAGAGGAAGACATGGAGAATCAACAAATCAACTAGATGTCTTCCTTTTAAATGCCGTGTGTCATTATTTTAACTAGAGGCATCAATTTCCTTACTGCAACTTGACTACCCTTATTAAGGAATCAGTAATCATATTATTTCCAGCTATAAAGAGATCACTGAACCAATGGTGAATTCATATGATTTTTCAATTCCTCATATGAATTGCTAGTTAAGAAAAGAGAGCGTTCCATCCATACTTCCCAATTGTTTACATCTAGATCTGTGCTTCCTTCGGGATGTTTAGAACCAAGGATTGATTTAGATTTAGTTCTATTTGTACCACCTTTAAAATTTACGAAACATTCTGTTGGGGGCGGAGATGAGTTAAATGTTACCGTGATAGAACCAGCATGGTTTGAACCCTACTCTACCTTGGAAGAAATCTACAGGAACACACAACTAGGAGAAGACATAATATGGTAGGCAAAGATCGCCACCATTCATGGAACATTGATCTGACATTTTCCCATGTTGAAAGAGAAGTTTGAAGAGAGCATGACACTTATCATGACATTTACCTTCCCCAGTAAAAGAAGGTTATCCTGGCTCTGCACATGAGAGACGAGAATAGCCATCAGAAATTAGCCTTTTTGTGGCCAGTTTCCCGCAGGTGCATGTTAAGTTCAGGGTCTGGAATTTATGAGATATATAATTTTTCAGCATATGCAATACTGAATATCATTTCATTTCAAACAGTGTTGCTAAAATGATCTAAATGGCAGGTATTTGCTTACATGTATGTATGTATGAAGAAATATATTCAATACATTCACATTTGTAAACTTGATTGTAGTTTGTCTATCCTTAGAACAGTCATCCTAAAACAACTGTTTAATCTCCAATATTGTAAATATAAAATTTGGGGGGAAAATGCATGAAAATGTTAGGGTTGCTATTTTAACTTGCTTGTTTCTGTTTTTTCTCAATTTTTGGCAATAGCATATATTAATTTTACAATCAGAACAAAAGGAAGACTGTTATTTAAATTCATATATTAGCTAATTTAGGGTTAGCAGAGATGTCTAGTATTGTAGTCTTTTACTCTTCCCATAATTTATCTCCGTTTCTTCTGTTTAATATCTTTGATAAAGATCCTCTGTATTATTGTCGATAGATTAAGAATAATAAAAATAGGGCTTCCCTGGTGGCGCAGTGGTTGAGCGTCCGCCTGCAGATGCAGGGGACACGGGTTCGTGCCCCGGTCCGGGAAGATCCCACATGCCGCAGAGCGGCTGGGCCCGTGAGCCATGGGCGCTGAGCCTGCGCGTCCGGAGCCTGTGCTCCACAACGGGAGAGGCCACAACAGTGAGAGGCCCGCGTACCGCAAAAAAAAAAAAAAAAAAAAAGAATAATAAAAATAATTTTTAAGTTACAAACTGCATAGTAGCAGTAATAGAATCTGCAACTTGAAAATTGCTTACAAATGGACTGTGTTGCTCTGAAATTACTTATTTTATTTCATGTGTCCAAAATAGATCTCAGGGGCTACCCTGGTGGTGCAGTGGTTGGGAATCCACCTGCCAATGCAGGGGACGTGGGTTCGTGCCCCGGTCCGGGAAGATCCCACATGCCGCGGAGCGGCTAGGTCCTTGAGCCATGGCCCCTGAGCCTGCGCGTCTGGACCCTGTGCTCCGCAATGGGAGAGACCACAACAGTGAGAGGCCCACGTACCACAAAAAAAAAAAAATCAAAGAATTTTCTACAGCAAATCACAAAAAAAGAGAGATGTTTCCCTTTATGCTGATACTGTTTTCTAAACAGTCAAAAACATCTCAAGAGATTCAATAAGGAAGTGGGAAAAGGTGATTTTGAAGGATTATTTGAAAAGAAATAGGCTGAAATAATTGCTAGAGGGTGTCATAATGCGATAATCAACTGGTAAAGTTTCACTATTCTCTTGTGGCTAGAATGACATATTTAGAAGCATACCGGTTTAATGTAATCTAAATCCATTTATATGCTTGAGTGTGTAGTCAGTGTATATTTCCTTTTTGCTGTCTTCATGATGTTTCAAATAATAGATTAATATTGACCTTATGGTGCAGTTCTATTTAGAAAATTGAGCTTGAACTATGGATAATTATGTGTATATATTTCTTACAATGTTTTAAGACACTGAATTAAAAAAAAAAAAAACCTGCACAGTTGAATTACCGTCAGCCCTGAAGAGCTGCTGATAAGCCAAGTTGTATAGTTTCATGAATTGCCAACTCAGTTATCAGACAGGTTCTGAATTCTAGAAGCATTATCCCACAAGATAAATGGACAAGTCAGAAATGACACAGCTTGATTTTAAGGTACCAGGTGGAGGTGGCAATACAATCTGGGGGAAATCTTGGTTTGATATATGAGTGCATTCACGTGATTTGGCAGTGGTTTTAGACACCATGGAGATGTCACGTGGCCGACCTTCCTGCTCTGTTCTCAGACTATACCACACTTGTGAAACAGTGAGGCTCATGGGGTAATAACTCAAAAGCCAAAAGGCTGTAAAGCAAAAAAGTTGCTAGCAGGCACTAACCTGGGTGTCATGACTCTTTTCAGGTAGTAGGTGTAACCTTGAAGAAAAAGTGGCACTGTCTTCAAAAAAGTGACCTGACCCTGGCTTTGGTGGGTTTTTCTGCAAGAAATAAAAAGCACCGCATGTGTTTATTATACATCCTTTCTAGCTGACCACTGCTTTGTTCTAGAGTTCAGCATGAAAGGACTAATTTTTGTTTTCTTTTGTTTTTGTTTTAGTGAAATGGCATGTCCGTTGCTAATTCTAGCTATTATAGTTGCACATGTGAAAAATACCTATACGTAGTTTATAGATTGGTAGCATTTCAAATAAATGGTATACTGAAATATTGACCTGAAATTTTTTGAGATGCTTATCAATTGATTTTTTTTTCTTAGCCCAAGAAAAGAGTCTGAATCATTATTTTTTAAATTTTACCTTGTAACATTAGATATGTTTTAAAAAATATATTAGGAATTTAAATATAAGCATGCCACTTTGTTTATTGCTATATTATTAAACCTCTTGGAGCATGGAAAGAATTCTTCACAAATGATTTTGCTCTTTTGAAAAAAATAAGCTGCAAAAATATTTGTTAAACTATATATAGTCTGTCAATGAGGGTAGCTTATAAAGGTATACTGAGCTTACACTATGTAATGTTTTATCCAAATAATTTTTATATTTTGAAAAAATGTCAAATAGTTTAAAAGTACCATAAATCTTTTCCCAGAATTCAGAACTGTATGTATCTCTATTTTAGGAAGATGACATTGCTTCATTAAAGGAAAAACCTGGATCATTATGCACCCTAATTTGTATGCAGTGAATCACTGTTGCCCTTTATTCTTCCAGAATTCAGTTAATCTAAGGATTGTGCCCATATAAACTTTTCAGAACACATAAGAAAATTACCACTGTTATATCTGATGAATAAAATCTCTAATCGTTGATTTTCTATCATAGAAATATCACATTATCATTCAATAATGCTAGTTTTTAAGTTACAAACCAAAGAAACAAACTTTCAGCATTGTAAAGAGATTCACACATTTTTAAATGTAGTAACTATACAGAAAGTTTTTCCTTGTTCCCATAAATAAAAGCTGCCTGCCACTCATTACATTTTAGAAAGGCAATGCCTGAAAAAATGGACAATGTTCTGCTTCTTAGAGTCAACCTACCTTTTAAATACTTAAAGCCCTGTGCAAACCAAACATAATAATGTAATTCTATCCTCTTTAGTTGCATAGAGACTATCAAGATTTATTAACCTCTGGAGTTAATAGTGACCATAGCTCTTAATTCCCTTTCAGACAACGGACCCTCATATGTCCATTTTTGTTTCTTTGCCTATATCTCTGTGTGCTACATTTGTATTTTAAGTAGATTTACAACACAGATATTCACGTGTGCACTTAGTATAAGGTGTTTTTCTCCAGAGAGGCTCTGCCCAGAGACCAAAGAAAATGGAAGGTTTTGTTTTTGAAGTGTTTAAAGATTATTTGATTTTTACATAGTATGAGATGTTGCTAATTGGGTTGGGAAGGTGATACTTTGTTTTTTGTTTTTTTCCCTTATGCCCTATCTACTCTCAAAAACTTAATAATCTGGTAAACTAAAACCCCAGAAAACCAACATACCCCTTTACAGTCTGTAGTTATGCTTGTATGAGGCCAAAAAATTGTAGATATCAGTATATCATTGCCTCTATTATTAATCATCCTTTATTTACACCTGGATTTATGAGATTCTCCAATTAAAAGACATTTCTAAAATTCTATTAAATTTGTTTGATCTCAAGAACATTGAGAGTTGCAAATTTTTTTCATACTACCTCCCCCAAATAAACAAGCTGGGTGAATTCCTGTGATGTTAGGCTGCCGAAGAATTTTTAGAGGTTTTATGACATGTTTACTTTTTATGACCAATCCACTCAAAAATGACAGACTCCAGAGATCACCGAGCAGAAGTCCTCTGTGGGAGTGAGACCCTGATCCTAATCCCTAATCCAGACTCCTCACTGCCATTCAAAACACTTAGGGATTATATAGGAATAAGTTTTAAATGAACATAACAGGCAATCTATAGTGTTTTTAAATCAATACTATAAAAATTGTCATGTCATGTAAATTGCCTTAAAATATATTATACATATAAAATACTATGTTAAAATTAAATGTAATATGTCAGCTGTAAAGGTGAAAAAGTAGCTAACTAAAAAGTTCACAAATAATCTTTTTTCAGATTTTGTGTGTTTTCTCCTCAGCCAAAAGCCTCAAGATTCACTTGCAGCAGACTACCTCTTCATTTATGTTGGATTGCTCTTTAAACATTAGAATATCTTGTGATAAACAATAAGTTAAAGATTTCTCCTGACACAAGTCATTGTTGATTTCACTGTTATAGGGAAAAGGCTCTAGGGCGGCAGATAAGGCTGTTGCCATGGTGATGAAGGAGATACCGAGGGAGGAGTCTGCTGAAGAAAAGCCCCTCCTTACTATGACATCACAGGTGGGCAGACCCTTAGGGTTCCTGTAGGAAGCTGACATATGTTAATATATCAGATATTGTGATTCTTAACTAGAAAAAAAAAACCATTAACTCGATCCAATGTTTTTAAAAACACAGTTTCAATGAAACAATTATACAATATAAAATGAAAACCAAAATTGCTAAAAAAAAAAAAGGAAAATTCCATCATTTAGTTACTTATTCGTGGATATTAATTTTCATTACTAAACTTTAGTTAAAAAAAGAAAAAGAAAATATATGTGCAAGTAAAACATGTTGCTTCTTTATAAAGGAGTCTTGTTAACAACTTTGGGAAAGAAATAACAATTAAGCTAACGGTACATTTGAACAACAACCAAAAAAAAAAAAAATCAAATTCCTATGAATAAATACAACTTATATTGCATACATATGTCAGTTTACCAGTAGAATATCTAAAATTTCTTAAATGTTAAATATATTTATGTTGTGACTATGCATACTACGTATGTCTATACATATTTATGTGGATAACTAATTTACAGGAATGAGCCAGAAGTCCCTGAGTCTCCATGCAGAAAATGGCATTCGTGGCCCCTCTTCCACTTAGTGACCTTGACAACAAAAATATCGTCTCTATTAAAAGCACATGAGGGGCATTTTCAGTATTTATTATAATAAGTATAGAAAAAGATTTGCATTTGTATGCAAAGACACACTGAGAATGAATCCTGTATGTCCTCAGGGACTTTTGAAACACCCTGTAAAATCCACATACATATGTATGTATAATATACTCATCACCACTCTGTGGAACTATCAGTTTTAAATTCTTAAATGCAAAATTACTTACTTGCATTTATCTTATAATTTAGATTAGATTGTTATCTTAAACATTTCTTTTTTTTCTCCATAATGCAATAGTAAATACAGTGATTCAGTTCCAATTATATGAACATGTCTAGATTTAGAAAAATGTCCATTTAAATTCCTCATGAAAGGCATTTATATCAAAAGCTAAATTATGGCAACTTATTTTTAGAATATCATCAGATCACATCCCCAGCTGCTGCCAACATGTGTGGTTTCATTTCATTCTAAACACTATGTTGTAAGTAATGAAAATTATAATAACATATAACATCAAAATTGAATAATAAAAAAGTTATAAAGATTCCCAGGACTTTGGGATAATCTTATGTTGTGAGGTTTTTGTTTTAATCCAAAAGAGGAGATGTTTCTTCCCAATGACACATAGTAATAGTTGGAAAGAAATTTGCTTAATATTTACCAAGGGCTCCATTCTTTCCTTAGTTTACATAGTAAAACATACACCGTTTTACATTGATTTCCTGCCTTTGTAGAATCCATATCCAATATATACAGTCCATAGTTCCTCAGGAGAATGTTATGGGAGGTGAGAACCACTTGGAGTTCTCGGCTAATGGTAGAGCCATATTCATCAGTAGGTAAGACCTATCCAAATTTGCAATTGGTATAGTTGTGCTGCAGCATATCATTTCAGGACATCACGATTTAGGACAGGCTCTAGTGCCCAAAATTCTTTTTCTTCAAAACCATGCATTACTATGTGCTTTCCAGTAATTCTTTTCAAATGTCCAAAATTACCACTATAACCTAAACTTTAATTTAAATTTAATGCAAAATAAGAATTTTGATTTTTTTAATTAGAAAAGAAACTGTAATTATTACCATTTTCTCATATTCAGAACATTTGTGTGTACCAAGTTCTTTCTTTAATCCCTGTCTAATGTTGCATTAACTGTTTTTGAGGTAATAGTTACAATTTTACTGCATGAAGATGATACAATGCTTTCTTAGATGCATCATATTCTTGTTGCATAGTGACTAGTTTATGAATCAGCAAATGGAGAGTTCTGATTCATAAAATGCAATGCACCTATTGTATTGATAATCTTATGGAATTAATCCTGTGACAGCTGTGATACAATTATTTCTCAGTCAAATGTGGTTTTATTAGTTGATATACTTTTTCCACTACACACAAGTGGCTTCTTCCCTGCTATGCACCAGTGGCATGCACAAGCCAAAAAGCAGCAGAATGATCTGAAAAAGTGAGTACTTCTCATGGCAACCACAGCATCCAATCTGTGTACCATACCACATTCTTACTCGTTATCTTGTGTGAATGTATTAGTGTCTTGAAACATGTCTGTCCCATGTCTCCTGTAAAGCCCCTGTGACATAGTGCTACATACTGCAGGACACATTGACTCATCTTCATCACTGGTGTGTTGATGCCAGCTGCTCATTCACAGATTCCAGAAATGTCTGAAGCTAATTGCCGCTCTCTCAATAATGTCTTCAGGACAATCATAATTGATAAAATACAGAATAAGTCCTTGAAACACTGAGTCCCTAATTTGTTTAGTAACTGTTCATTCCACAGATTCGTAAGTGTAGAATAGTTTATATTGAAGCATTTTTGTATTATGTGATTATTAGGATCATTTTTAGAGAGATTTAGCCAAGCATACTCCAGTCAAGTCATTTATAGTACCTTGAACAAATTGAACAAAACGGAAGAGTTGGCCAGGTGACCTGAACTCAGAAATTGTCAGACCCCTGAGAATTGCTCTTTTTGTTTCATTTAATTATTAATTCTTTGCTAAACAATGTGTCAAGCTCTTCATAGCAGTTCAAGTTCATGCTGTCCTAGACTAACACTTTAAGTCAAACTTTAAGTCAAACAGTATGGAAACAAATGTGCATTGATGAGAGTTTTGAAGGGAAAAGATATGTGAACCATCACGTCTTGGAGGAAATAAGAGTTTTTCTAGACCTGTGCTGTTCACTACAGTAGCCACTAGCCACACATGGCTATTGAGTGCTTTGTGGATACCCCGAATTGAGATATGCTGTAAGTATAAAATACACACCAAGTTTTGAAGATTTAGTCCAAAGAAAAATAATGTAAACTATCACATTAATAATTTTTATATTGATTACATGTTGAAATGATAATATTTTGGATATATTGGGCTAAATAAAATGTGTTATCAAAATTATTTTCACCTGTTTCTTTTCACTATCTTTAAAGTGGCTACTAGAAAATTTAAAATTACCAGGCTCTCGTTATATTTCCATTGAACAGTACTACTCTAGACTGTAATGGTATAAATAAATCCAGTTTGAGGCTAGAAGGGAAAACTATGTGCCAGAAGATTGAGCATATCAGAGAAAAATTTTTATTCTTCTTTATGAGAATGAAATGGCTTTAGGGAATATTTTTCTCTCATAAGGAACCTTCAGAAATTTTCATTTTAACCACCTCCCCTGGTACTTTTGTAAGTAAGGAATAGCCCATTCATTTTTTGCTATAGAGCACAGTGTCTTAAAACTATGTGTTCCAGACCTCTTCTTGTCAAGGGAATTTTTTTTTAACTCAGGCTTTGTTTTTCTATCTGTCCCCACCCCTTATAGTTTGATACTGATTTAATATTGTGTCTGATAAAGATAAAAAAGTAATGTCCTTGATTGGAAAAACATTCACAAGGCTGCTAAAGACAGTCTTGTTTGGGTTTTCTGTTACTAACTTGAAACAATTGCTTTAATTATATTCTCCTTCCTGCCTTGATGTTAGTACTATCCAAGCTGTAAACAATAATATTTGTTCATTTCCCCATGAATAGATTCACATTTTTATGTCTAACTATCCTGTCAGGAAAATATTTGTTGTCAGTTGGTTGACATTTAGATCAAGTCAGAGAGTTGAAAATTATCACATGGTTATCCTTTACAGGAAGATCCACTGAGACCCATATAAAGAACTGGGGGATGGGGCAGTGCCATTAGTACTATTAGCTCATAAGAAATTAATTCAGTGGGGTGGCAGAATTACCATGACAAAACCTTCAAAGGCTGAATACTAAGGGGTGCATAGTAATGTTTCAGTTGTTTCCTCTTTTCAATGGATTGAGTCACTTAGTTTTAATATGGTGACTATTTTGATGGGCTTTGCACACGTTTCTAAACTTGGATAGGACTAATAAAGCCATAAACAGTTTAATTATAAAATTATGAATGAAAACCTACTTAACCAATGACATATATTGTACTTTTAATCAAGAGAGTGCAAATAATAAAGGAATTTTCAAAATGCATAAAGATATGTCTATTGAAAGCATATTTGTGTTTTTATTTATATAAAAACAATCTTATTTTTTCTATTATTTAGATGAGATAAAAAGACTGGTATATTTTTACAAACTTTTTAATCAACATTACAAATACGAGATATTTGTCAACTGTTTTTTAGCTTATTCGCTTCAGTGTTTTAACTTTTAAAATTATTATTTAAGTACTAAAATGTTTCAAAATAAAAACAATATTTATTTTAAACTAAAACAATAGATTGAGATCATCAATCTGAAGTGTAAAATTATAGGATCAGTTATTATCCTATACAGACCTTGTTTTCTCACCTAAAATGTATTTTGGTTTGGAGTTAATTCTTAGTGATATGAGCTATCACAAACTTTAGCTCTATATTTTTTAATGAAACACCTAAGCAATATATTGTTTAAAGATAAATAAACTTAGACTTAAGTTACAAAAAAAGCTATCTTTAATGCACTGGAGCTTAAGTAGCAGGCAGTATTTAAAAACAAAATACTCTCCTTTCATCTTGGTTAAATATTCAGCTTAGATCATATAATAATTTTTTAACATTTAAATTAAGTAAATTCAAGTTGAACTAAGGCAAATGTATTTTTAGACAAAGTTTTAAAACAGACAATAATTCATTAAAGGTGGATGATATTGTCTGCATTCTGCTCAACACTAAACACAGTATTGATATAAAATAAGAAGCAATTTTGTCCTGTGGTGGCTACTATTAGCCACATCAACTGACCGGTCTGACTAAGTCATAAGTAAATTGAAGGCATTTGATTGAATATTTCATTTACAACCTGTGATTACAAGGAAGGTGTAAAGGATCAATAGTCTTGAATTCTGAGTGACAAGAAGCTCCTACATGCGAGTTCTCACCTGTCTTCTTACTTCTGCTGCTTCCTTTCATTTCCATGTCCATTGACTGTGTAAGGGCTTTCTCTCAGAATCTCCAAATTTGAATCTCTGATTTAAAATCTCTGAGTGAAGTAGTGGTGTTATTTCTTGAAGTACCACTGGCTTCCCACTTGCATTGGTCCATGTCCTGCTTCCAAAGATGGAATGAGGCAGTTCCATGCCTTTATTTCAATTTTTCTCGTTAGGCATTCATTCTTGGCATTTTTGACTTCTTGGTAGAAGCCTTGCATTTGGAAATGTTGCTTTAGATACCTGTAGGTTTCCAAGCATTTCAATGATGTGACAGTGGGGGAAAATGGACTTAGATTTGTGGTTTAAAATTTGCCAGGAATTTAGTAAACATTTCTGAGGACCACTGGCCTCTCTATGAGTTGATCAAACCCCGTATGAAATTGAGGATGCCCATGCAATCATTCTTTTATACAATTCACTATTCAATTGGACTATATAAAATCAGTCAACATTTATTAAACTGCCACTATGAGATACAAAAATTAATTGGATAAGGTCTCTACCTTCAAAGAGATCACAGTCTAGTGGGAGGAAACAGGTGAAACTAAGGTTATAAAATTGGGTAAAGCATGGGAATGCAGAGATGTTGTAAGAAGGCACTTGCCGCCTAGAGCTGAAGAAGGTTCCCAGACAATGTATCAATAGAACGGGGTCCTGAAAGAGAAATAAGAATCTGTCACCATTAGAAAGGCCTTTGAACTAATCTAAATATTGAGAAGAGGACAAAGAAGGATAATAAAGGAAAAGTTTAAATGTAAAGTTGAAATAAAGGCCTTAGCAACTAATGAAGTGGGTCATTTTAACTTAGTTAAGATCATCTGATTGGACCAAAATTGCAATCACTCCCACTCAGTTATTCAAAAAAAAATTGGAAACCTTTTGACTCACCTTTTATTATTTTTATAACATCAATGTACTCTGTGCCAGAAGGATGAAATGAGGTAAGTTCATAAAGTATTTTCAAACTGAAGGAAGTAATTCTAAAAGGAAGTGAATAAGCTCTATCCTACCAATGAATAAAGACAGAATAAATGGCATACAATTTGGGAGTAAAGCTTAGGGGAACTATTTGGGGGATTCAGTTCAGTTTGCAATATTACTTTATGACCTAAAAGGTTTGCTTATTCTCAAGTCACCATAGGAAAACCATAAATTTGTTTGAAAATCAGGAGGGAGGCATGTGAAAAGCCATTCTTATCTATACAAGTAAAAATAAAATGGGACTTAGTAGGGCTAAAATAATGATTCTTAAATTCATCTGACTGAAGATACAGTTCAAAATTGGACTGTTTGAGATAGATATTTTTATATCTTCAGTTTCTGCAAAGTCACTGTCCCATTTGGTAGCCATTTATTGAGCCCCTCTTATATGAAAACATTCTATTAGAAGTTGTGAAGGATATAAATATGAGTAAGACATAGCCTCTTACCTCAGAGTTAATAACAAAAGATTTTTTTCATGATATCTCCTATTTCATCTTCCATATCTCAATCAAAACCCAAAAACCTTCAGTTCCCAAATGACCTTTCCATGCTATCTGAAATCTGGCCTTTCATCCTCTTCACCCTTGAGCCCTGCCACTATCCCCACTCCAATCTCAGCATTTCCCGACAGCTAAACGGTGCTCTAGCTTGAAAAGCACAGACTCAGAAAGTAATGTGAAGTTTCCTCTTTGATTTGTATCTATGGAAGAAAGTCACAGGAACAGCTCAGTTATGGGAACGGGACAGACATGTTATGGGAACAACTCCAGTCCAGGGGTGAAGTGTGGTCACAAATAAGACAGTAGGTGTGGAAAAGACCTTATGAGGAGAAGCCGCAACTTAGTCTTGGGCTCTCTAGGGTCTCTCTGAATAACCTCCTCTTTGGTATTCTTTTCTTCCTATGCTGAGAAAATCTGAGTGCTAGAAGTGCTTTCCCTAGAAAATAAGTCTTTGGTTTGAATGAGGAGAGAGACTCAAAAAAAAAAAAATACTATTACCTCTGATAAAGCAGACTTGCCTAAAAGGATAGGCCTTTCAATTAATTGTGGCTGTCCTTTGTTTTTCCATTTAGATATTTATGTGGAAAGGTCTTACTTTCTAGAATTCTTTTATCAAATTTAGACTAATTTTTCAGTGTTTACAATTAAAAATATCTACAGAAATCTAATACCCTGGTCTTCTAAAACCATAGGTAATCTAGGTCTATTCTACACACCTACTCACAGAGCTATGACTTGGAAATAAATTATTAGTCCTTTTATTTACAAAGGAATTTAATTGTATCCAAAGTAAAGAAAAAGTATAAGGGGGCTTTTGTGGAATATAAATCATAGGTACCTTTTACATAATAATGGATATTTCTCAAGACCAGGACTAAGAGAATAAATTTTCTTAGTTATCTATCAATAACATCAGACTTCTTCAGAGAAATAATGGCTAACAAAAAGAGTTATGACATCACACATATGTCATACGTATTTTAAAGCTGAAGTTGTATTGGTTGTATTGAGTTTTTGTGCCTTTTTCACTTTAGCCTAGGTCAATAAGACCTAGTAGTCAGAATGCACAACTTAATAAATGTAAGCCTGTTACAATAAATTCTATGAGTATAGTGTGGTGCCATATTTGATGGTGACCTTCATCTTCCATGATGTTTATAGCACAGCAGAATCCATCTCTCCCTTGACAGCTGTGAGAATGACACAGCCTGGAGGTAGACATTGTTGCTACATCAAGACCACATCACCATGGTGATATCATACTAGATGGGTTCAATATGCTAAGCATATATGGCTAAAAGGGCAAGTTCTCCCAAGAAATACACATTAATGTATGAGTCTTTAAGAAATTGCATAAACACAGTTTTTACATGAGCTACCTATAAATGAAAAACAGATCCCAGAAAACTAATCACATTTTCCGAAGAGCTGGCATAAACCATGGCATTTACAAAACTTCTAATATATTTTATCCCCAAAACATGAGAAGCTCATAGTCCCTCAACATTAAAAAATATTTCAATATAAATAGGATGGGTGATACCCAAGAATGTTCAAATTCAGAAAACAAAATGCAAAGAAACTCAAGAGTTTTGTTCATGGATTAAAGGAGCATCCCAAAAATAAGGTTACAACCAAAACAGACCTCAGATAATTTAGAGAAATCTGTGAGTCTTTATACATAGTAACACTGAAACTTATAATTGAAAATTTTTCTATCTCTATAACTTGAACATTAAAAGAAAATGAGCATTGTTAATGCTTAGAACCCTCGATAACATGTACAAATTAATATGAGTGAAATTAAATTGCCAACTCTATCTCAAAATCTTAGACTTCAGTGAAGATCTGAGATTTATCCATGTTAAGATAATAGCATGAATGTGTAAAAGTACCAAAGGTGCCTCTTGGTTTTCAGTCCTGGAATAATCACTAATGCTTCCATATTCCTCCTTCACCAATAATAGAATTGCATTTTTTCTTCCCATATTTACCATTATTTAGGTCTCTTGTCATGGTCCATAAGCTCTAAGCTATAATACCACTAACATTGCCAGAGAAATAATGAAGTGAAAGTGAGTCATAGAAAATATTTTGATTTGGTAATACTTCAAAACACTTCATTTGTTATTTTATGTGTCTCTTAAAATACAGCCTTGCAAATAAGTATTTTAAAATCTAGAGATTTTTTGGCACATCTTTTTCCTATAGCAAGTAGAAAACTAGATGACTGTGCCCATTTTAAGAAAGGCCAATATAAAAACTCCCAAAAAACTAAGACAGTTCTTTTAGGGACTAACCACTTGTGTTATCTTAAGTGTAATTTTCCCCTTACCCTTAGAAACAGAACTTAAGGATGTTTGGATTCAAAGAGGTGCAGAATAACTGAAAGTAAATAGTTGGCTGCCACTGATAATGAAAACTAATAAAAATCAAACTGAAAGATTTCTGAAATTAGAGAACGAGCCAATGGGGAAATATAATTGAATTGACAGAAATCTCTTTTACATACAGATTTTCACAAACATATATACTGGATACCTGTACAGTTAACAATACTTCCTACTCTCTCAAAATACTTGTTATGCACTATAAAAGCATTCCAAGGAAATGTAAGGAAGGGCGTGTGCCTTTAGGTGACTTGAGCTTTTTAAGAGAGAGAGAAAAAGAGCATTTATCCATGCACACGGATCTCTGTGTGTGTGCGTGCTGTTACTACATAGCAATGACTGACCAGTCCTAAACAGAATGTGTCACGACAGGGTCTGAAGCCATGGTTCCAGGTCTCAGTGAGAGCTTTTTGTCCAGATGAAGAGTGAGATTGGCCCTTAGGAACTGTGATTCAATAGGTGTCATATTCTACATACTGAAATTAGAGGATAACTCCAAAACCGTTCTAGGAGGAGAAAAAAAGCTTGAGGTTTGAAAACTGAAGTTGGCTGCATCAAAAATATGACAGTGCTGAAAGGCTCATTCCCCACCCCCTGATTTTGTTTCCTTTCTTGCCTCTACCCTATTCCTTATTGATTGATTTATTTTTTGGTAGGCTTGCTATTCTCATTTTGTTGCAAGGCTGCATTTTAATTCATCTGATTCTGCAATTGGACAAAGTCCTTTGACACCTGTGTTCATTTGTTCCCAGCTGGTGAATGAACAGCAGGAGAGCAGACCCCTCCTGAGTCCCTCCATCGATGATTTTCTCTGTGAAACCAAATCGGAGGCAATAGCAAGGCCAGTAACGTCCAACACAGCCGGTAATTCTTTCACTTTTAACTTATCCTCAAGTGGAGTCAATTTTCATGATAGAAAAATGCACATTTTCTTTCCACAATGCATTTTAAGTGGAGAATAATGTTTGCAAACAAAAGAAATTTTAGAGTATATACTGTTCAATATAAACCAATAGATTGCTTTTCTTTATAATATAAGAAACGCCAATGGATATTATCCAACCAATTTTGAAAACATTAGAGTACCACTATTAGCAATGAATCATTTTTCAATGCCAATTTTCATATGTACATCTTTGCGTCTCAAGTCACATCATATAGGAATTCTTTAAAACAAAAGCATCTCTTTCAGAGTAAGGTTTTTCAAGTTCTGGCTGGAAATATTTTGTATGACAAAAGTCCAGTAAAATAAAAATATAGGCAACCCCTTCAAGTGGATTGAAATCACAATTAAAATGTCCTAGAGACTTGGGATATTATCGAGACAATTTTATTTTTTTGTCATATAAATGGATTAGTTGCTCCTTCTTACAACAATTTATTTGAACATTGTTCAGGAATTAAATATAATCAAACAGTAAGCTATCTGTATAGGGACTAATAAGTTGTCATCCAATGAGTGAATGCAGGATACCAGTGTATCAGTCACACCTTCTCCAGCATCCTCTGCACTTAAATTCTCACTAATTCGAAAACTAAGTCACTTAGGTACAGCCCACTCTGAGGCCACAATGGAAGATTTGACTCAAAAGCTACTTGTCGCCTTCTGGATCAGCGGCAGACTTTCTGCATTGGTTTCATTCAGTCAACATTCACACTCAAAGGCATGTTGTTCAAATAAGAATGAAAGAATGATGTCCAGAATCAAACAACAAAGGTTATATTGGATTGCAGGAGAGAATTTAATGGGGGAAGGAGAGGATAATTATATACTGTCTTGTTAAAGTTCATTTCATTTCCCCATCATGTCCTCAGCCTGCTGCTTCCTGGCATAGTTTTATTATACTTTGAAGTAAGTGAAGGAAATCACAGGTGAAGGAAATTGTGATTTTTAAGAAACGCTAAAAATTACAACAATAAGAGTAACTAACACAAGATAGAGGCACTTTATGTGGGAGTGTAGTCTACAGTCTCTGGAGTTAAACTTTGTGAATTCCAACCCCAACTCTGCCACTTAGCAACTCTGTGTCCTTGAGCAAGTTGCATAAGTAAGTCTATTTCCTCATCTGTCTAATAGTAGTAAGATCTATATCTCATAGGTTACTTGGGAAGATTAAATGAAGCAATCTATGTAAGTGCTAACACACCAAAGCAATCATTTTCTAAATTCAACTACCACTTTGAGTAATCAAGCAAATAAAATTGTACTTGGTACATTTTAGGCAGGAAATGAAACAAGTTCGGATCCTGTCAGATCAGTTTCATCCTCCTTACCTATTGAAACTGGAGCTCACCCCTCCAAAACTGAGCTACCCCCAGAAAAATACAGAGGAGCCTTGTGTCTCTAATTGCAGGAAAATCCATGAAAATGGGGTACACTGAGAAATTCCCGCTGTTCTAAGAAAAAGCTGCGAAGCATAATTCTCAGATCTTGATTCCAGTACCCTCTACAACTCTCAGGAAGGATAGAACCAGGTCACATAGGAAGGGCTCACCAGAGAGAGCACCATAAGATCCAACTCAAAAGCTGCTTTTCACCTTGATTTTTCTAGCATATAACAGAGAGAACTGTGAAATACTGGAGGAAATTACATATTCAAAAGAATATGTAATTTCTTGCAATCCCAGTACCTAGAGTATTGCCTTCTGTATTAGTTTCCTAGGCCTGCCATGACAAAATGCCACAAAATGAGTGGATTACACAACAGAGATTTATTGCCTCACAATTCTAGAAGCTAGAAGTCCAAAATCAGGGTGTCAGCAGGACCATGCTTCCTCTGAAGGTGCTTGGGAAGGATCTGTTCCAGGCCTCTCTCCTGGTTTCTGGTAGCTCCGTGACTTGTGGAAGCATAACTCTAGTCTTCACATGACATGTGTGCATGTCTCCCAGTATGCATGTCAGTCTCTGTGTCCAAATTTCCTCTCTTTATTACCACCCTACTCCAATCTGACTCATCTTAACTAATTACATCTCCATTGACCCTATTTCTAAATAAAGTTACATTCTGAGGTACTGGGGGTTAAAACTTCAACATATGAGTTTTGGGGGACACATTTCAATCCATAACACCCTCCAAAGTAAGAGGTCAGGAAAAATGGTATGTTGAGACTATGGGTTTTTCATTGCTTGGCCTCAGCATTCAGTGCATCTGGGTCACACAGATTTTTATCTTTAAGGAAGACTCTCATTTGATAGTATGTTTTTTTTAATCTTAAAAATATATGTCTGGGGGGGCTTCCCTGGTGGCGCAGTGGTTAAGAATCCACCTGCCAATGCAGGGGACATGGCTTCAAGCCCTGGTCCGGGAAGATCTCACATGCCGCGGAGCAACTAAGCCCGTGTGCCACAACTACTGAGCTTGCGCTCTAGAGTCCATGAACCACAACTACTGAGCCCATGTGCCTAGAGCCCGTGCTCCGCAACAAGAGAAGCCACTGCAATGAGAAGCCCGCACACTGCAACGAAGAGTAGCCCGCACTTGCCACAACTAGAGAAAGCCCACACGCAGCAACGAAGACCCAACGCAGCCAAAAATAAATAAATAAATATATATATATGTATGTCAGGGGGACCCTCAAGATGGCAGAGGAGTAAGACATGGAGATCACCTTTCTCCCCACAAATACATCAAAAATACATCTACATATGGAACAACTCCTAAAAAACACCTACTGAATGCTGGCAGAAGACCTCAGACTTCCCAAAAGGCAAGAAACTCCCCGCATACCTGGGTAGGGCGAAAGAAAAAAGAAAACACAGAGACAAAAGAATAGGAACGGGACCTGCACCTCTGGGAGGGTGCTGTGAAGGAGGAAATGTTTCCACACATTAGGAATCCCCTTCACTGGCAGAGACGGCGGGTGGGCAGGGGGGAAGCTTTGGAGCCATGGAGGAGAGCACAGCAACACGGGTGCAGAGGGCAAAGCGGAGGGATTCCTGCACAGAGGATCAGTGCCAACCAGCACTCAGCAGCCTGAGAGGCTTGTCTGCTCACCTGCCAGGGAGGGCGGGGTCTGGGAGCTGAGGCTCGGGCCTTGGAGGTCAGATCCCAGGGAGAGGACTGGGGTTGGCTGCGTGAACACAGCCTGAAGGGGGTTAGTGCGCCACAGCTAGCCGGGAGGGAGTCTGTGGAAAAAGTCTGGAACTGCCCAAGAGGAAAGAGACCATTGTTTCAGGGTGTGCGAGGAGAGGGGATTCAGCGCACCGCCTAAACAAGCTCCAGAGATGGGTGTGAGCCGCAGCTATCAGCATGGACACCAGAGACGGGCATGAAATGCTAAGGCTGCTGATACAGCCGCCAAGAAGCCTATGTGCAAGCACAGGTCACTATCCACACCGCCCCTCCGGGGAGCCTGTGCAGCCCACCACTGCCAGGGTCCTGTGATCCAGGGACAACTTCCCTAGGAGAACACATGGCGCACCTCAGGCTGTTGCAACGTCACACCAGCCTCTGCCAACACAGGCTTGCACCACATTCTGTACCCCTCCATACCCCCAGCCTGAATGAGCCAGAGCCCCCTAATCAGCTGCTACTTAACCCCATCCTGTGTGAGTGAAGAACAGACACCCTGAGGAGACCTACATGCATAGGTGGGGCCAGATCCAAAGCTGAATCCCAGAGCTGTGGAAACAAAGAAGACAAAGGGAAATCTCCCCCAGCAGCCAGCCTCAGGAGCAGTGGATTAAATCTCCACAATCAACTTGATGTACCCTGGATCTGTGGAATACCTGAATAGACAACGAATCATCCCAAAATTGAGGCGGTGGACTTTGTGAACAACTGTAGACTTGGGGTTTGCTTTCTGCATCTAATTTGTTTCTGGTTGTATGTTTATCTTAGTTTAGTATTTAGAGCTTATTATCATTGGTAAATTTGTTTATTGATTTCGTTGCTCTCTTCCCTTTTTTTAAAATATATATATTATTTTGCTTTTTCTCTTTTTGTGTGGTTGTATGTATATGTTTCTTTGTGTGATTTTGTCTGTATAGCTTTGCTTTTACCATTTGTCCTAGGGTTCTGTCGGTCTGTTATTTTTTTGTTTTTTTTCTTTTTAGTATACTTTTTAGCGCTTGCTTTCATTGGTGGATTTTTTATTAGTTTGGTTGCTCTCTTCTTTCTTTCTTTTTTTAATTACTTTTTTATATTTAACAATTTTTTAATTTTAATAACGTTATTTTATTTTATTTTTTCTTTCTTTTTCTTCTCCCTTTTCTTCTGAGCCATGTGGCTGACAGGGTCTTGGTGCTCCAGCCGGGTGTCAGGCCTGAGTCTCTGAGGTGGGAGAGCTGAGTTCAGGACATTGGTCCACAAGAGACCTCCCGGCTCCATGTAATATCAAATGGCAAAAGCTCTCCCAGAGATCTCCATCTCAGCGATAAGACTCAGCTCCACTCAGTGACCAGCAACCTGCAGTGCTGGACACCCCATGCCAAACAACTAGCAAGGCAGGAACAAAACCCCACCCATTAGCAGAGAGGCTGCCTAAAATCATAATAAGTTCACAGACACCCCAAAACACACCACCGGATGTGGTCCTGCCAACCAGAAAGACAAGATCCAACCTCATCTACCAGAACACAGGCACCAGTCCCCTCCACCAGGAAGCCTACACAACCCACTGAGACAACCTTACCCACTGGGGGCAGACAACAAAGACAGTGGGAACTACAAACCTGCAGCCTGCGAAAAGGAGACCCCAAATGCAGTAAGTTAAGAAAAATAAGAAGACAGACAAATATACAGCAGATGAAGGAGCAAGGTAAAAACCCACCAGACCAAACAAATGAAGAGGAAATAGGCAGTCTACCTGAAAAAGAATTCAGAGTAATGATAGTAAAGATGATCGAAAATCTTGGAAATAGA